AATAAATATTATATTGCATTATATACATTATATACATATATCACATTATGTACATTGTATTGTTTTATATATATTACTAGAGGCTTGTCTAATAAATAGAGCACTGGATTGCAGTTCAGAAGCATGGGATCCTTTTTAGCTGACCACATGATTCCAGGCTCACAGATTAATGCTGTGTTTTTCAAATTCCTGGAGGAATAAAGAGCTATTGGTGGTTGTGGGGATTCATGGAAGCTTCAGTTGATGGAGGACAATACACTGTATTTATTTATTATTAATATGTTATCATTTTGAAGACAAGGGATTTATATATACATATAAATATATCATGCAAACAAGCAAACCTAATGAATACTTTGCTGTTTTCAAAATGCTGGGGGAAACATGTAATACATTTTTTAATTTTTGAAAAAAACGTTGAAGATTCTTTCAATGGTTGTTTGGCAATTGTAAATTAAATTTAAACAAAAATACAGCTTGGATTCCTGACCATGTATTTTTGTGCTCTGCAGGAGACATCCATGGATTTAGATGTGTTGTCACAAACTTCCAAGAGAAACACTGAGCATCTGTCCCTGGTTTAATTCACTGCTAGGTCTGAGATGTTGGAAATGGTGTTGCTCACTGGTTGTAGCAACCATGAGAAGTCTTCCTGAAGCTGTGTGAACTTTGTATCCCACTAGACCCTCTCTGATGTACAAAGATCATGACTATAATCATTATAGTTATCATTATAGTTATCATTATAGTTATCATGCTTTTGCAAAAACTGTCCATGTTTGACTGTTGGACTTTCAGCATTACTGAAGAGCAGCTGAATATTTAGCATTGGTTGGAGTTTTGATTTTCATAAAGCTTTCTGCAGACATTAAATGTCATCCTTTCTGTTGCAGGTGTCTGATAACAAAACTTCCTTGCCTCCAAAACCAGGAGGTCTGGCTGGTGGCACCAATGTACAACCATCACTGTCCCCTTCACCATCCCCTGGATTTCACTCAATTGCTATGGGAACAAGTGGCCACAGGTCCAATTCCCCATCCCTGTTTGGTACTGAAGGAAAGCCAAAGACTGAGCACTTGAGCCAAGGTCAGAGTGCCCTGGAAGAGCTGAGAACACAGATCAGGGAGCTGAGAACCATCATTGAAACCATGAAAGACCAGCAAAAGTAAGTGCTGCAAATCCCAGCTTTAGGGGGATGGATCCATTTGTGCATAGTGGTGGCAATTTCTTGCTGAATTTGCCTTCATGGATGTCACTTTGCACAACTGGCCCATGTGTTTGTGAGTGATTTTCCTGTGACAACCTCAGCAAAAAAGACCTGCACTATCCACCAGCTTTTTTTTTTCCCTGTGTTATGATATAAGTAGATGTTTATGGGATGTTTAAAAAGTTAAGTTGCAAGCTATAAACAGTGAATGTTGTTTTATTTGGCAATAACTATCTTGGAACTCATGTGTATTGAGCATAATAAAAGGGGTGCATTTGTTATAGTTGTACAAATTGCTACAAGTTCCTAAAATTACTACATAAATTTGTTATTTGACTCTTAGGACATTTTTCCAGGAAGCTCATGTTACAAAAGTAGGAACTGAATTGTGACTAGGACATTCTTTTGTGTTTGTGGCCCTGAATCTTACTATTTTAGATTTGGGCATCTTTATTTTCTTTAAGTTGTTCATTTCTAGGAGAAACTGGGGCTGGCATGTTAACCTTCCATGTGCTGTTTGTGTCCTAAGGTGAGATCACTCAGTGGGAACATGAGAACATCTCTGCTCCTTACAGCTGTAGGAAGCTGCTTTCTTCCCAACAAAGAAAAAGGACAGAAAAGCCACATTTGAGATCGTTAAGTTGTAGAAATGAAGTTGAAGATTACGTTGTATTGCTGGCATAAATAGCTTTTAATGGTTTAAGTATGTGATAGGACTTGTGCTGCCAGTTCCTATAACCCACCAACAGTCAATACCTGCACATTTTGTCTGATTTGGGTGTTGATGTAATGTGGACACCACTAGGGCAGAGCAAAGCCTGTGGATGCAGGCATTTCTGAGGCATTTATTCATTATTCATTATTCATTATTCATTAGCCATGTGGGATGGGGTGGGCTGTCCTGAGTTTTACTTGTCTGTACTATAGCCTTTAGTACACAAGAATATGCTGACTTCAATTAAATGTCCACAGGAACAGAATGACTGCTGAAGTGGGGAAAATATGTCTCCAAGAGATAATCTTTTGTATTTCTCTAGTCTAATCATTTCCATGCCAAGCTTCTTTTGCATTCTTTTAACAGAAAAGAGATTAAACAGTTGCTCTCGGAGTTGGATGAAGAGAAGAAGATTCGTCTACGATTGCAGGTGCTTAAATTTTTTATAATGTTGGGGATGTTTTGGCAGGTTTGATTTACCCTGATATGGGACATAAAACTGCTAACATACTTAGATTCCAGTCAATCAAAAACTACCAGTATTTCTGAAATGGATAYACCTGTTCCCTTCAGGGCATTGCARGTTTGTGTCATATGTATTGCAATACCATTTTACTGAAAAGCCTGATAATTATCTAAAAAATCATCAGCATGAGTAGGCAAAAAAATTAAACACAATACAGGATTCAAAGTATGATTTTTTTTTTCATGTCAGCTTTAATTGTTTGATTTTGTCACATGTGAAATCATGCTTTTTTAAGTTACTTTCTGCCAATTAGTAGTAGTGTTGTCTCAGAGTTAATATGCTTGGAATATTATTTCATATAGCAAAGCTTTAATGTCTGCTTTACAGACTGTACTCAGGTTGTCTTTGCTAAAGCATCCTGAGCAACATGAGAGAAGGTGCTCAGTAACCCAATTCCTGCTCCCATCGTTTATAGAGCACCTGAGTTCCAGATGTTTTCATCTGCCTCAGTCATTGGCCATTGTGGGATTCATGGAGCTCAGCCTTTGGTGAAATCATAAATGATGCTGCTTTGATGTGGAATGGAGTTGGAACTGCCTTTTGGGGTTTTGGAGAGTGATTTGRACAATGTCCTTAACAACATGCTTTCACTTGGTCAGGCAGATGGACTGAAAGGTCATTTTAGGCCACTTCCAACCAAAATGATTCTGTGCTAACCTATGCWATTCTATTCTATTCTATTCCATGTACTTGATAAGGGGTTAGTATTGATTATATTTTTATAGTATAGGGCAACTGTACTTTACCTAGGGATAGATAATTGTAATTTCCCTGGACTGTTTCCAGTCTGTGAAGTACTTGGGAAGATGCAAAGGTGGCAGAACTGGGGATCCTCAATGTCTGTGTTCCAGGGCTGCCTAAATGACTGTGTGTGTCCAAGCACATAGGAACGTGGCTTCTGATAATACACACAGTTCTGCTTCAGCTGAAACTGAAATTCATTCAGATAAAAACCAGTGAACATTTTTAATAGCCGTTATTGATTTAGTCTCAGAGTTATCCAAGGATAACTTTTCATCTTTATGCAGAGACCTGCACTGATGGATTTCAAATTACAGTCTTACAGCTGAATGCTTTTACTGCATTCAAATGCTGCTTATACTGGTAAATGTTCAGAAGCTAGCCAAGAAGGAATTATTTGCTTCACATGAGGATGAGAGTTAACAAACAAAAGTTGCATTGATAATCATGAAATAGCACAGCTCTCAGGCTGCATATTAAAGATGACTGCCTGGATGATGGTGCAGTTGAACACAGGTTAAACTGGTGTGTTTGAATAAACCTGGAACCCCTGCCAAGGCAACCACCATCCCTACAGCCAGAACCATCCCTGACAAGCTGTGTGCTTGTCAAAGTTATCATTTAAAGAGATTAAAACAGAACATTCAATGCCTGTACTCGTCACGGTCCGAGGGAGGAAGCTGGAAATGGTACAGAGTTGAGAAGCACACCTCAATTTGTAAAATTTGTGGAAAAAAAGAGTAATATAAAACTCATACTTGACACCTGTGGACAAGATGAAACGTGCTTTTCAAGTGGCACCAACTATGCCTCAGTTTGGTAAAGCACATAATATAATCAAATATGTTTTCTTCTGCTTGTTTTTAGATGGAAGTTAATGACATAAAGAAAGCTCTTCAATCAAAGTGAATACTTGATCAGTGGAATGTTGCATTTTTCTTCATGACTGAGACTCAAATTTATGCCCCAGCCAAAATAACTTCGTGCCAAATGATTTAAGAATTGCCTCAACATCCCTTTCTTTGAAGGCTTAGCACAACAGTTTTTGATAGCACAACAAAAATACCAACAAGAATAAAATTTCTACCCAAAGCCGTGCTGTGCGGCGCGAGTTGTGACTGAAATCAATCTTCTTGTGCTAAAAGCTCTCTACTTCAAGATCCTAGGTGAAATGAAAACTCAGGCAGTTTAGTCCATAGTGGTACTATTTTGATGATATTTTTCCATAAATAAAGTGTATTTCAGATTATCTGTTTACAAGCTTTATGATTTTGACTTTTGGTTTTTAATTGTCTTTTGTCACAGATTTTAAAATGTTTGTACTGCATATAGCTAGGAATGAATGTTAATGTTGGGGCTGGAGGGATTATTTTTGCTTCCAGATTGAACAGCCTACTTTTTGTTACGGTTTTAAGTTCTGTTAAATATGCAATTTTACATCCCCGAATCCCCTCCAACTTAAAACTTGCATCGTGTACAGTAATGTATTTACAAGAAGGAAACAAACCAACAGAAGTCTGGTGTTTGCAATGATTTGTGCCTTTCTTTGCCACACACTGACTGGGGCCGGATGAGGCCAGGTCTCTCTTTGTACTCCCATGTCACTCGTGTCCCCAATGTCTGGGGGAGGTCACCTTACAGTGCACAG